AAGGAGTCCTACTTTTAATGAATTCACTGAATTTTTTTTAAGGAAAAAAAAAAAAAAAATTCAGGAAATAGAAAGGCTCTTTGTGAAATTTCATGAAATGATTTGGGGGGTATCATATGTAAAAAGAAAATATTTTTTACCAAAATTTTCTAAAAAAGAATTTCAAAAATAATTTCATTCATTTGTGAATAAGTCCTGAAAATTTTATTAAAATCGGATAATTATTTGATTTTCATATGAATTTCCAAATCAATGTGTTTTCAGAGAAAAAAAAGCGGGACAAAGCACAAAAAGTTAATGTAATTATGACATCATCTTGATGACGCAAACAAAACAAGATTTTTAAACAAAATTTCGAATGTGTTAGAAAGGATTAAAAAATTAAAAAAAAATAATCAAAAAATACTTTGGTCTTTCATCTTAATAAGAACAAACATTTTGATGATAAAACTTTATTTTTATTAAGTTTGTGACCTTTTTCATTACGCTATGCTGTTTTCCACAAAAAAGTGGAGGTATCTATGTTGAAATGTTTATTGTTGTTCTATGGAGACTTTATCTGTTAAAATATAATTTAAGAAAATATCAGGACAGCCTCATTTTTATATAATTTTTTTAAGTACTCAGTAATCTTTAAAATGTTATTCTCTGTAATATAATTTTAGGAATGCTGACTTTAAATTTATAGTCATCGCTCTTATTGTCTGATAATGTCGTGTATGGTCGGCCATACTTTCAAAAATGGACATGTTAATATTTTATATACATAAAAAGAAAAAAAAAAGAATTAAAAATTATTTTAAAAATCTTTGTGCAAAATTTGTATTAAGCTTTTCAATTTTTTTTTAAAGTTTTCACTTAACAATATCACCTAACCAGATGAAAACAATGCAGAATTTCAAAAGATTTATAAATATAAATCTATTTTTTCAGTATGAACTCACCCACTACTGACTGGAGATCAAAAGGCCTTTTTATTTTTGAAATTGATATGTGAATAAAATTTTTTCAATTGTTCAAATTTTAAAAAAAACAAAAGAAAAGAAAAAAAAAAAGTAAATTTTTCAAGATTCTAAAATATATTTTACTAGCTGATGAAACCAAGTGATTCCCAGGAAAGCGTATGTTATCCACCATTCCTCTCCTCATATCCTTTGTTCGATTATCCAAAAGTAACAATTTGAAGTGTCACTGAAAAGGACTTTCACGCGTTCAAAGAGAATACCCAACCACCGCCCCCAGGATTTTTGGAGGAAATGCCATTAAGTTATAACAAAATCTTAAAGTGACTTACATAATCACAGACAAATCGGTTATCAAAAAATAAACAATTCAAAGTAACCCTGAAAAAGCTTTTGTGCTTTCAGAGGAATATAGCCATTAGGAGGGCGAGTGTTAAAATAAATTTACAATAGATGTACAAATACACTGACATATAGTTTCACAATAGACCTGCAAAAAGATTTACAAATAGAATAGCATATAGATTAACAAAAGATTTATTAATTAGATACCTTTCTTATGAAATTTAATCTCACTCTCAACAGTCTTATTTTAATTTCTTTATATTTTCCATAAAGCATTGTAAACATAAAGGTGAAAGCTAAGTACAAAAAAAAATTAAAAAAATTAGAGCGCTGAAAGTTTTTCTTAAAAATAACGAGGTAAATAATTTGTTCACTTAAATCTAAATAACTTCACTTCTCCCCTTCCATAGAAGGAATTATCAAAATGTCATGAAAATGTCTTTTGTCACTTGTTTAAACGAAAATTTTGGACATGCTAGGAATGATTAAAAAATGTAAAAAATTACCCCAAAAATACTTTGATCTTTCCTCTTAATAATAAAATACACATTTACACGATAAAGTTTTGCTTTCGTCAAGTTTGGCATCTTTTTCGTCATGCTATACTCCTTTTAGCGATCTCATGAAGGTACCTAGATTTACAACACTGACAAATAGTACAGTTAAATCATAAACACCTGATGATTTGGTGTTTCTTATAAAGTTTGCAGAGCCTCTTGATAACAATTTTTGGTTTTTCCATGCGTGTTTAAATAAACAAATGATTGGGATTGCCAAATCTTGAAATCCCAATACAAAATTGGCTATGGGAGAAAACCGGTTCTGCCTACCACACTCAAGGACTGCTCCTGAGCTTTGTTAATGCGGATTGTAAAACTCAGTTTCACCGGGAATTGTAGCCGATTGAACTGGAAAGGTATATCTGAGGGAATAAGTGGAATTTTAGGAATAAATACAGACTCACCGCTTGCTTTGCAAGTCAGAGATGATGCCTTCATGACTGTTGGCATCATCTTAACTGTATGTGCCATTGTAAAGCTTTGGTGGATCTAGGTTTCTTAGCAGCATCACTAGTGCTCCAATCTTGAAGTGCAAATTGTGAGGTGGGAGGCCTGTTGGTATTAGGCTATTAAAAAATTCAACTGGATAATTCACAACTTCATTGGCATTTAGTACAATGCCAATGGAATTGTAGCTGCAATGTTCACTTGGCAACTGTTCCAGAAGTTTGATGTTCAAATCATCAACTGCCACATTCTTTGGGGCTAAAATGGCATAGGTTTTCAGCCAGTTGTGGTCTCTAAACTGATTCGTCAAGTTAGGAAATACTCTAGTCACTAGTTTCTTTAAATCAGATATCATATGTCCAAAAGGCAAACTGACATGGCCATCCTGCTCACCAACCAAAGTGTCATTACCAACATCCAATAGTTGCTCAGAAAAAGTACCAGCTTTCTTATCACCAGTGAGCTGCACTCTCATGTTGGTTGTGAGTTTCAGCTTTTTCACACTGCTCCACAGGTAGGAAGACTTTATACTGGCATTTATCTCATCAGGTCTTGTCCCTTTTTGAATCACTGGAAGAGTTTGTCTAAAGTCTCCTACAAGTAAGACTGTTGCACCTCCTATGAGTTGTGTGTTGTGTCTAAGATCCTGAAGTACCATGTCTTATGGATCATTGTCACCTCATCCCAGATGATCAATTTGCAATCACAGAGGAGTTGATGTTGCAGGCTGCCTTCTCTTTCTTGGACAGGTCCAAAGGGAGTTTGAAGTATGAATGAGCTGTGTGGCCACCATTTAGCAGGGTTGCAGCTATTCCACTTGATGCTACTGCTAGAGCAATATGTTTCCTTTGGCACAGTTTAGCCAGTAGGTTGATGATGTCTGCGACATCGAGGAATAGATCTCTTTCACTTTCAGTGCTTGAAATAATTGTGTTATAAACACCCAATTGGTCCTGCATCAGTTTGTTTGCTATCAGCTATGTATGCTGTCATTTCCTTGGTGTCATAGCTGATCTCCCGCATATATGCATTTGCAAGATTGTTTGCTGCATGCTCAGATTGAATTAGGCCAAATGTTGCAATTCCTTGGGCTCCCATAGCTTGCACTCATGTGTCCAGGTCAACTAATGCCTCATTGTAAATAGCATCATTGAATGTGACAATTTCCGCTGAGGTTTGCCTTTGAATTCTTTGTAGGATGTCCTCTGCCATGCTGGTTTTGTGGGTTGCCCAAAGCTTGAGAGGCTCACCGAAGCCACATGTCATCAACATGATGGAAAATAGCTGGTGCAGTTGAATTGGTGTTCTGCTAATTGCTACTTCCTCCAGTGTCTGATCCCAGTAGGCATTGTCCTCCAGTAGTCCATGTTAGGTGCAGACTTCTCCGTTATATCTTCGAAGGTTTGTGAATGATGTAGGATCTCTGACAGTGTGCAGTAGCAGATGTAGAAAGAAGCATTCCTGTTGATTAAGGTGCACAGTGTACACCCATCTGATGGTCTTGCTTCTGAAGACAGCATTTTCTTCCCAGTCTTATCTTGTGTTCCTTGCTTGTGTCTGCTCCATCTATTGTGTGGCCAGGTGTAGTAGACGGGAATCTCAACATATAGCAGTGTTTGGGCAAACAGGTCACTTTGACATAATTTGAAGAAAGCTGTCAAACTGGTTTCGAGTAGTATATTCTGTGAAATATACATGATGGCCAAGATGAATTGCTAGATTCACCACTGTTGTATGCCGCTCATAGTTTTTGAAGTCCAGGATGAACCACATTGCCTCATTAGAGGAAATATATCTAACCAACTGATAGATTTTATTAATATTCAATATTGAAAGGAGTGAGAGGTTTAAAAAAAACAAAAACCAAATAAAAAAAAAACAATTTTTTATAAAATTTTTGACTTCACTTTTGCTTTTCATTCCAATTCGAATTGATGTCAAATTAAACCACGGTAATTAAGAGTAACTTATTCATGCTGATTAAGGATGTTTGGATTTGCTAGATTTTTTTTTTTTTTTTACATAGATGGTATATAGCATGAAATTGTCTTTCCAACAGGATGTTATTCCACAAACAACAACCATAACTATGATATGCCTTTTTAAGGGCAGGTCGAAATATGAGCTTAAGTAAAGTTTCTATTTGCAAATGAGCTCAATTTATATGTTATTTTATGTTTAAATGACTGAATGGATTGAACCAATTTCTTCGTATTTAATAAATTTGAACCTGGCAAATTTAATGATGAACATGGTGAAATCTGAAAGAAATTAATTTTTTTCAATGGAAACACTATGGAGATCATATTCAAAGAAAGATTATGTTGAATCAATGTATTAAATAAACTACAACGAAAATAACCTGTGTTTCAGATGTTGTCCCCTAAATTTAAAAAATTAAACAAAGACCCATATCTGTCTGGAATTTCAAGCTTTATAAGAGTTATCATTTATCTTAATTTTTAAAACATTTGCAAGACCAATTATTCCCCTTGCTTAAACACAGTGATAGCATGTAAACAGTGTTTTGTGTAGACCTGGTGGTGAGCTGCGATTTAGGGGCCCTAGTGGTCCCACTATAGATTCTTATAAAAATCCAATTAGCCTAGTAACAAACTGGATGTTAGTTTAACATGTATGCAAAGTTTCATCAATATTGGTTCATGGGTCTAGGTGGCAACGTGATTCAGACAGACAGAAATTGCCATTCGTGTGTATAGATAGATAGATAGATAGATAGATATAGATAGATAGATAGATAGATATAGATAGATAGATATAGATAGATATAGATATAGATAGATAGATATAGATAGATAGATAGATAGATAGATATAGATAGATAGATAGATATAGATAGATATAGATAGAGATAGATAGATAGAGATAGATAGATAGATAGAGAGATAGATAGATAGATAGAGATAGATAGATAGATAGATATAGATAGATAGATAGATAGATAGATATAGATAGATAGATATAGATAGATAGATAGATAGATAGATATAGATAGATAGATATAGATAGATAGATAGATAGATATAGATAGATAGATAGATAGATTAGATAGAAGATAGATATAGATAGATAGATAGATATAGATAATATATGGAAAATATACATATATGCAAATATATAAATACCTATACATGTATATTTTAGAAAAAAAAAAAATTCCAAAAGGAAGAATCCAGGTAGAACTCAATGTCTAGGACAGAGTAAGGATATAATAAAAAGGCTTAAACACTAATATTCCATGGTCATAATTTATTCCATTGGAATCGTAAATGCGATCCAATTCATCAGACCTACAAATTCAAAAAAAGAAAACAGAAAAAAAAACCAACTCCGGAAATAAAAAAACAGAATTTAGAGAGAGTGTAAGTATGAGGAGGAGGAGATTAAACCTTAACAGAGAGAATTTTAGGAGAGATGGGTGGAAGGGGTTTAATTAAGAGAAAAAAATGAATGTTGACGGATGTCTAATGCATATATATATATATATATATATATATATATATATATATATATATATATATATATATATATAGATTAAAATAATTATTTTCCTTTCAATTACAAATTCAATGAGTGTAAATTAATTTATCTTTGACAGAGATGACACCTTATTTATCTTTGCTTTTCCTCTTCTTGTTGAGGGTAGCAGCTAGAAGACACCTTCATATACTTTCTCCCTTTCTTTCTTTTCACCTAGACAAGAAAATACAGAACTCCGAGGTTATAAATTTGTCCTAATCTAGGAAACAAACCACTGTTCACAATAATTGCCAAATATTAATGATGACTAAAAAACATTATCATCTTAAAGGACAATTTTAGCTTGTAAAAAATCCAGATTTTGGGGATTTGGCATTTTAACTTTCATGAATTGAGAAAAGGGGTGTGTGGGCAACTCATTTTAGAAAAATCCAGGACTTTTTGGCTTACTGCTGTTTTTGCAGGACTTTTCAAATACTGGAAAAAACCCTGACAATTTTCCAGGACCTATACAAACTGTATTTTTGCAAAGAACTTTGTAACTTGTTTCTTTTAACTTTAAAGAAAGAAAAAAAATTTTATTTTTACAGTCAATAATAAAATTATTGAAATTTGTAAAGCTATGTTTTGAGATGATTTTTTTTCTTCACTTTCCACACACTTACTTCTCTACAAATATTGGAGTTGATCCAATTTTCTTAGACCCACCAGTTCAGAGCTTCACAACTACGATCTGCCATATTATGTTCATGGTAATAAATCATCTCCATTCATTTCATTTTCCTTTGATAAAGAGTAAAACAGCTTCTTTCACAGAATTGTCATTTTATGGAATAGACTCCCAAGACGATGCTTTCCTGACTGCTACAATCTTAATCTCTTTAAGTCTAGGGTCAACTGATATCTATCCTACATATCTTCGTACGTATCTCTTCCGCCTTCCTTTCATGCTTACAAAAATCTCATTCAATTGCCTTGAGTGGCTCTCGTGCCTTGTATCGGATGAATAATAGTATTAAAAAGAAAAAAAAAAAAGAATTCTAAAATTTTCTAAGGAGGACACCAAATTTTGACACATATAGAAACAAGAACATCCTTGTGAATCAATCAAAGGTTTATATTCAACATTCCTGAGAGGTTACCAAAGAGAATGGACACCTGAATGCACAGCAGCTAAAAAGTGATTTAAAAAACTGATACAAGTGTATTAAATTTTTTTTAAAAAATTCGACTTTTCAACTTAATAAATTTGGCATCCTCTTTTGAGAGTATATTACTTGAAATTGTATACAAGTGTAATAGGTTTAATATTGGGCTTTTCAATGAAATGTAATCAAATAACTTATCCTAAAACTAATATTTTACTTAAACAATTGAATTTATGATTTTCTTTAGATCAGATATTCTGACTTAAATATCCAAGGTCTATTTTCAACTGATCTTTTATGTCACTAGACAAAATAGTTTATAAGCTACTGAGTATATTAGATCACATTAGGAGCACTTTGTTTTAACTTCATTCAAAAATATTATGTTGGCACTCATTTCTTTTTTATTTCTTAATTTTCCTATGTTTGTTTATTGATTCCAACAATGTTAGTATTAGAAGGGAGTTTTCTATTATAACCTACCAGATTGGAATAAGTATTGTTTCCAGTTAGACTGGCTGATGATAGTAATCAAGAAAAAGCATCAGTAATTAAAAAACAGACATATTTCATCATTATCATGCAGAACTGTGTTTCTGTGGTGACAAGGTAAAAATTATTACAACTTGGCTTGAAAGGATTCAACTCATCCATTGCATTCACCAGATATTGCAACTTTAATTTATCATTTATTGTTCTTTATAGAATTCTCTTTTTCGGGGGAAAACAAATGGCACTGAAAGTCTTAGGAAGATGGAATTATGAAATTGTTTGAAAACTGTAGAAGATAATGGAACAACTTAGCAAATATATTGTTTAATAAATTTATGGTGAAAAAAAATTATCATTCACTTTTAATATATTGAATGAACTTTTTTGACCATCCAACACAATTATTTTTTAAAGCTTAATATTTAATTCTTCATATATCTTTTTTAACAGTAAGAAAATTAATTTAATGGCTAAGTGATAAAAAATGCTTCTTTTTAACTAATGATTTAATTACAAATACAATAACAGGGGTTGCTATAATTAAAAAATACCTTTCACTGAAACATTTTGTTGAATCCTCTATACAGTTTATTGGGTATTCTAAAGAGAAAATATTTATTTGCTCATTATGGTCAGATTTAAATTGGTGATGCTTAATGTATCAACTAAAATTTTGTAAATTTTAAAACTGATAAAGAAATGTTATTTCTAATGAAGTCACTCACAACAAAGTATTGGGAAGATTAGCTTATTTGTAGAAATCTGACATTACAAAGCACCAAAATGTGATACTTCTTAAAAGACTGAGGAAAGTAACAGTTTTAATCTAAAAGGTTGTCATGAGAATCATTCTTTTACTCATGTTGATAGAATATAAAGTGTATTGTAGAGGTCAAAAATTTGTAATGCCTTTTATTTTTTCTTAAATGTATCAGAAATTGATATTATTTTAATATGAAACATTTCATAAATACAATTGTGTTTAATTTAATTAATGGTGTTTAATTTCCTTTCAGAGTTATTATGGTTTAAACTGAAATCTTGGAAAAAAAAACATAAGCAAATTCCATACACAGAATTCATGAAAAAAACTGATAAAAAGGCTAAAATATAGTATTTTAATGTAGAATATTATTATTTTCCACAGAAAAAATGCTATATTCAAAATATAAATATGCTGACCAAAAATAGTAAAAAGTTACAAGTCATTTTCTTTACCTACTGAGAGATGTTTGATACAATATCCTATGACCAAAAGTGTTTGTACAGTTTTCAATTTTTTTTTTTATTAACTTTTAAAAAAATATTCTTGGATGGCATTTTCAGTGATTTGTCAATTTTTTTTATTTACATGTATCAACCAGATAACTTTCAGAAGAGTATACCTACAGTAGTAACAAGCAAAATCAACAATGCAGCCCAAAACTTGATTATGAGAGCTTATCTACAGTATAAATTTGTAGGAGAAGCAGTCCATAGTATACAGCATAACTGTATTGTTCACAAGTGGATCAGGAATTTTTCATCTGGAAAAGACTCAAAAAGATTTACTTCCTAAAGGATGGTGAGGAAATATTGACAATGAATTGGAAACTTGTGTTGAATCTGTTCTACTTTAAACAGATACTTGCATTAACATTCAATTTAAGTAACAAAACAATACATCTTCAGCATATTAGTAAAAGATAGACACTACTCTATGGGCAGAAAAACTGAAATAGCACAATTTTTTTTATTTAATATTTATTTATTTTGGCCTATTAAATGTGTTATTATCTCAGAATGATCATTTCTTTATTATTCTATAGTAAATAAAAATATCTAATTATTAAAAGAATTATTTTGTGGTATTCTTTTCTTAATTCTATCTTCTGTTGTTGCCAACTATTCTCTCTCTTGTCAGACTCTTTCCTTACTTGCCAAGAGCAACATTCATGAAGCCTGCATAAACCCAATATTTTTGGAACATAATATATGGAAACAACTAAGAAAGGTGTGATACAATGGCGTTCTGAAGTTTGTTGGGTTTTTCTAACCTCTCAGTAATGTTTTTCACGTGGCCTTGTTGTGCCATGGATTTTAGATCATTTGCTCACAGGATAAAATGGAAGGAAACATCAATGCTTCTCATTTGAGCGTCTTTAGTTTTACTGCTAGAATATAACAATGTGGATGAATGTGGTTTCATTTGTACAATTAACTTCTATTCTACATACTTATTCAAGGTCCCTGAAGGAGTTTTGTTTTACATTAGCAGGGCATAATGAAGATCATCCTCTGGCAACTTTAAATGGGCATTGATTTTATTCTTGTAGTAGTTCAATTCGTACAAATATTTGAAGGATGAGCTTGTTGCAATGACAGGTGAAGCACATACATGCAAACTTGGAAGACAATCTGATTTAGTTGGGTAGTGGTCATTAATCACTGACCTACAATTTGCTGATAGTATTATTTATAAAATCTTTTAGCACATTGATCATGCCATAAATACCAGGCCATTCATCAACCTAGCTGGAATTTGGATGAACAGGGAAATGCTGAGTACTATTGGATCTTATTGGATTATAAACTGGTAAATAGTAGGTTAATTCCAAGTTTGAATTTTCAGTTTGTTGGGGTTTGAGGCTTTTATTTCTCAAACTTTGTTGTTTTGTTATTCCTTACTGCTTCACAAAGCTGACCAGTGTTTCATGAAAAGGAATGAAAGAGACAAAAAACAGATGGAAGAAGACATGTATCTCATCTTCTCTTCCATATAAGTAAATAAAAAAGATTTGTGGTTTTAAACCATTTTTAAGTAAATATATTCTAGTGTTTACTACATAACATGCTTAAATGTTCCTTGTCCAATTGTTATTAAGGATTATGATAGCAAAATGTTTTACAAATAAGCTATTATTCATTTTTAAATGGTTGCAGAATACAGTTGTTAGACTGAAAATATTCAAGTAGGATTTAATTCAAATATCAGAACACCAAGTGAATTTTAACAAAGAGCATAA